ATCTATAATAGAATCTAGATCTAACTTAATACTAAATTCTCGTTCAATGATTAGTGTTAAACAATCAACAAGAAAATGTTATACATTTACACTCCATTACACACCGGCTAACTTCCGTTTCTAAATTGTGCCTACGTGGATGATGGAATGCATACGTGACTGTTAACTCTCTCTAAAATAAAAAAAATCAAACGCCAACTCATTGTAAAGTGCAATTTCCAAACAAGCCTTAGCCCATTGAATTGAAATTGTCTAAATATATATCATCCAGGATTATCTTCATTGTTATTTGTTAGACTATTTTGACACTCGGTCGACAATATAATTAGATCTATACCAGACCTTCTTGACTTGGATGTTTGAGAATTTTTTTCTTGCGTTAAAATTATTATTCGGGATAAAGGAATTGGTGTATGTTCCATCTTTATATTCTGCAGTAATCTAGCATATTGAAGTAAATTCATTTACACCATCTAAAATTCAAACATTTAACTCCAAAATTTACCCATCTTCTTCTTCTTCCATCTAACTGAAATTCACATAATTTCACTCCCCAAAAACTGAAAGTCGCCCATCTTTTTCTTCCAACCAAACTGAAATTCACAAAAACAAAAAACAAACCGAAATTCACCCATCTTCGTCTTCCATCTAACTAAAATTCATCATTCTTTTTCTTCCAACTAAACTGAAATTCACAAAAAAAACCAAAAACAAACCGAAATTTACCCATCTTCATCTTCCATCTAACTGAAATTCACCCTTCTTTTTCTTCCAACTAAACTAAAATTCACAAAAAAAACCAAAAAAAACCAAAATTTACCCATCTTCTTCTTCCATCTAAACTGAAATTCATATAATTTCACTCCCAAAAAACTGAAATAAAAATTAAGAAAAAAAAATGTAAATTTTAAACTTACATCTTCTTCTTCCATCTAATTCAACTTGAAATTGAAGGTTCGGAACTTTGGAGTTTGGATTCTTGGGATCGAAATTGCAAGAGAAGGATGCGGCGGTTTTGGGTTTGAGAGAATCAAAGAATAGAGATGCACAGATAATGGGTTTTGGATTTTTAGATAAATAGCAAATTGGTTTTGTAATTTTTTGGGCTTGAACAGTGACCAATTTTTTATTTTTTTTACAAGATCTGGAATTGGACAAGGGTGGGCTGGGGCCCACCCCTATCTCCGCCCATGTGTCCTGTACTACATTTTAGAAAATTAAAGTTTCGATACTTAAATACGTATCCATACCCAATACCCGTATCCAAGTCCGAGCATCATAGCAGAGAATAAAACATTCCGTATTGAGCAAACCGATGAAACATCAAGCTAATAAGCAAAGTAAAAACAACTGCAACAGAAAATTATCAACTAAACAAGTGAACATGCATCCTGAATGAAGTTGTAGTATACTTTAAAATCCCTGGTACTAGCTAATGAAACACATTATATTTGTCTGCTGACCAGTTTAAAGATAATTAGTGGCAAAAAAGGTTTGAGAGCTGCTCTTAAGCAAAATCATTTGTATGATTCTCAAGGAGAGAGGAGCTTGGTGAAGTTGGATGGATACATACTTCACTGATTGATTCTTTTCATTTTACATTCTTAGATCATGTTTGGCTAGGCTTTAAAATTTGACTTCTTATAAGTAAATATTCTAGAATAAATAATTGTCACTTTTGAAAATAGAGCTATATACTTTTTTAGACAAGCATGTATTGCCTAGATCGAATCGTTTCGATTTCACATCTTCTTAATTTGAAATCAAATGGCTGGGGAGGAGAGGGGAAATGTTCCCTTTTTTAGGGTACCTTCGGGAACAGATTTGATGGAGACGGAGAGGGCCTATAATTCAGAGGATTAGAGCATGTGGATACGAATCATGATGTCGGGTGTTCGAATCCCTCCTCGCTCACAACTGGCCTAAAAGGGAAGTACCTTTTTCCTCTTGGGGTAGGAATATTCGAATCGTGGAAAGAAAATTCCTTTGATTTCATATTGTATTTGAAGATTGTTTTCCTTTTTATCAATTGCAGATACAAGTATGCAACCTCCATTTTGGCAGCTTTACATTAAGAGATGTATGCAACACTCATTGCCAGTACACCCATTCGATTGGTCGGCTTGACACGGCACAGGCCATTGGCTTGGGCTTGGTTTTGGATTTGGGCCAAGCTGATATATATTTTTAGTAAAATAATATATTATTTTATTATTATTAAAATAATAATATATTTAATTTATATTATTTTCCCCTATTTTTCTGTGTGTGACACGTGAATTCTTTTAGAAGGACGGTTGACGGTCCAAACGGCTTGTCTGTTGAAGACACAACTTTTCGATTGTTGTGTCTTTTGGACACAACCTTTCAATTTCTATAAATAGGCCCCCATTCCCCGATTTTCATTCACTCCAAAATCAATTCTGATTTTATGGTTCTTTCGAAATTATTTATTCGTCCATGCATTATTCATATTTTGAAATTCAGCCTTGAAAATAGTTTTCGTGCATTTTAATCCTCGAATTTTTTAGAGAGATCAAAACGTGAGTAGGTTCGCAGGGTCTTGTAATTTGTAGTGCTACTATTACAAATCGAGGTCGTTGTATCTTGGGATACGAGTGCCGGAATACCGTAAGCACTAGTGCGGGACATTATAGCCTTAAGGAGAAAAAGTTGAACTCTTACCTCAACCATTAACATTTTATAGCATTCAATTTTTCATGACGTTATTCTGTCCAAATAAGTTTACGGTGATATAGTTACTTGCCAACTTCCAGCACAAAGTATACTGATTATATTAAAACAATTAAACAATAGAAACAGAAGAAATAATAAAAGAAATAAATGATCAGGTAATTGACGAGATGAGATGAGCGTTTTCATTGGATTTTCAATTGAATTGATCATTTCATCTAGATTTAGTTCTGTTTAAGCTACATTGTGAAATTTCATTTTTTTTTTTGCTTTAAACTTATTTTCAGTGATTCATTCTTCCAATAAAATAATTTTAGACGTAAATCTTCATATTTTTTAACCATATATTTTTCAAAAAAATTATTATTACAAAATTTATTTCCAAAAAATGTGGCTAATACAGAAATTAATAAACTCATGTTTGATGGAGATTAAAATCAGATTTTTAAATGATTTTGATAAAAGTTAATAAAATGTGTGGTCAAAAAGTTATAAATTCTATGTAATGTGCGATTAAAATTAATTATTGATTTTAACTTTAATTTTAATCAAATTTTTTAACATTACCAAACATGAGCCAAGTATGAATCCTATGGCTAGGTTTAGCAATAACTTTGGAGACCCTTTTTTGATGTAATTATGAAAGATGATGGGTGACAGATCGATGACGTGTGTGATTTTTATTGGTGATTTATGTGCATGACATAAATTATTCACTTATCTATGATTGTTTTTGGTACACACTAGCACATTTAGTAATGCGCAACCAAATATATGGAGCAGTGTTGCCGTTTTTGGAGCAGGTGACCGGGATATAAGCAAACTAACCTTAATGAGATATGGTTCAATATATCCAGCAAGTGTTAAATTTTGTTGAGTCTGATGATATTGAATCTTTTCCATGGGGTAAGCAATTTTGCAATGTGACATTGATGTCCCTTAAAGGTGCGTTGACGAAGAGGACAATGAAGTTAGATCCTTCGAAGAAATATTTGGTCATTATAAAAAGAAATTAGGGGGAAATGATGTTTTGAATATTGATTTTTCTGAAAATAAGTATGAAAAATAAAGAGTTTTAATTTAAAGAGAATCAAACAGGGGCTGGCTTTGATTGCTTTTCAATTATGGATATTAAAAACTCTTTCTAGCAATAGTTCTATTACACTCATAAAAAGATGTAAAGAAACTCCCGAACTCGAAAAGGAAACCATTCTTGCAAAACTTGTCATTACACAAAAGTAAATCAAATAGCTTTTTCAAGTAAATACTTAATCTGTCCCAAGGGGAATCAAATATAAGGTCGATGTGGTTTCTCGAACAATGTGATATCTTACATCGAGTAAATACTTAACCCTTCCTCCTCATACCAAGACTGTTGTATAATGCTGCACTTCTGATAGTAAAGCTCATCTTGAGGCCAAGAGCAAGTGTCCAAGTACATGCAAAATTCATTATACATACAGAGAATTTGTGATGCTTGGACTCGACATTTCAGTTGGCATACCCGTGTCAACACGACAAGGTATGGGTATGAAATATGGGACATATCCTTCAATTTTTAAGCGGATATGACAATTGTAATTAATTATGTTATTTCTAATTTTTATTTTAATTTTGTGCTTTTGTCATGTAATTTATGCTTTTTTGGTATTTTAGACTTTTAGTATAAATTTCTAGTTGGTTTTAAGTGACGTATTTTATATTTTAACAATTTGTCACTTAATTATTATTTAACTTTTTACATATGAATTTTTGGAAAAAGAAAAAAAAAAAGTGAGAAAGACGTACACACATACCCGTGTCCAAAATTTATACTCTTTGTAGCCATGTCCTATATTACATTTTAGAAAATAAAAGTTCCGATACTTAGGTACGTATACATACCCAATACCCGTATCCAAATTCGAGCATCATAGCAGAGAATGAAACATTCCGTATTGAACAAACCGATGAAACATCAAGCTAATAAGCAAAGTAAAAACAACTGCAACAGAAAATTATCAACTAAACAAGTGAACATGCATCCTGAATGAAGTTGTAGTATACTTTAAAATCTCTGGTACTAGCTAATGAAACACATTATACTTGTCTACTGACCAGTTGAAAGATAATTAGTGGAGAGCTACTCTTAATCAAAATCATTTGTATGATTCTCAAGAAGAGAGGAGCTTGGTGAAGTTGGATGGATACATACTTCACTGATTGATTCTTTTCATTTTATATTCTTAGAGCATGTTTGGCTAGGCTTTAAAATTTGACTTCTTATAAGTACATATTCTAGAATAAATAATTGTCACTTTTGAAAACAGAGCTATATACTTTTTTAGACAAGCATGTATTGCTTAGATCGAATCGTTTCGATTTCACATCTTCTTAATTCGAAATAAAATGGCTGGGGAGGAGAGGGGAAATGTTCCCTTTTTTAGGGTACTTTCGGGAACAGATTGGTGGAGACGGCGATGGCCTATAATTCAGAGGATTAGAGCATGTGGATATGAATCATGGTGGGGGTTCGAATCCCTCCTCGCTCACAACTGGCCTAAAAGGGAAGTACCTTTTTCCTCTGGGGGTAGGAATATTTGAATCGTGGAAAGAAAATTTCTTTGATTTCATATTGTATTTGAAGATTGTTTTCCTTTTTATCAATTGCAGATACAAGTATGCAACCTCAATTTTGGCAGCTTTACTTTAAGAGTACATACGTTGTGAGTAACGGTCATGAAGTAGGTGAAAAGAGAGCAACTGTGGAACGACCTCGATCTTGTCCTCTACAAAAATGCATACTGGCCAGGATTGTCTTTCACACTTAGACAACATAGTCATGAGATTGTTAGTGACGTTTTCACATCTTTGATTGAATTTTTATTCGTATTGCTTTTCGAATCATTTTATCTAAACTATGAAAGTTAAATTCCAATGTTAGGACTCTATAGACTTTCAATGAAAAAAAAAAGTCTTTTTTGTTCTATAAAGCTTTCGGTAACCAATTTTGCGATCAAATTGTACGATTGATTCAAGATTGCACGTTCCCTATTATTTGATCGACCTGATTCTTGTCTGGTTTTGAATTTATGGTGAGTTCTTTGAGAAGACAATCCTCGTTTAATGATCAAAATGAAAGGAATGACGAGTTTTGTTATATGATTGAAAGATTAGTAATATAATTTGATAGAAAACTATATTTTAAAGAGATTGAGGATTGAAAGTGCAAATTTCCCAAAAAAAATTAACTTAGCAGAAATAACGTCAAAATTTATATCGAAATCGTGTTATATTCACAGGGTGCAATACAACTTTAGGGCTTTCTCTTTCGATTATTCCAAAACCCTTTGTACATTTTCCACTACCAGTGCTCCCAGCATCGATCACAATGGCCGTACGCTGTCAATCTCCGTTGCAGTTGAAGCTCCACCACATATCGACCACCAACTCCACCACGCAGCCACGCCCCACAGTTACTTTCTTTCCCAAATCCCACCTCCAATCCTCCCTCAAATTCAACCTCTCCGTCTCAGCAGTTCCTAAATCTGTTGCCGTCACAGCCGAACCCGAACCCGTTTTCACCTCCGTCAAGACTTTCGCCCCAGCTACCGTTGCCAATCTCGGGCCGGGTTTCGACTTCCTGGGCTGCGCCGTTGACGGAATCGGAGATTATGTTACCCTTCGGGTCGACCCGAATGTGCACCCTGGTGAGGTATCCATTTCTGATATATCAGGTGCCGGTTCCAAGCTCAGCAAGAACCCACTTTGGAACTGTGCTGGTATTGCAGCCATTGCCGTTATGAAGATGCTTAAGATTCGATCTGTTGGGCTTTCCCTTTCCCTTGAGAAAGGCCTTCCCCTCGGCAGTGGCCTAGGCTCCAGCGCAGCCAGTGCTGCCGCAGCTGCTGTAGCTGTAAATGAATTGTTTGGTGGGAAGTTATCTGTGTCCGAGCTCGTCCTTGCCGGGCTTGAATCGGAGTCGAAGGTGTCTGGTTATCACGCAGACAATGTTGCTCCCTCCATCATGGGAGGATTTGTTTTAATTAGAAGCTACGATCCTCTGGAATTGATGCAATTGAAATTTCCCCATGAAAAAGACTTGTTTTTCGTTCTTGTTAATCCGGAATTTGAAGCTCCCACTAAGAAAATGAGAGCTGCATTGCCACTGGAGATTACAATGTCCCACCATGTGTGGAATTGCAGTCAGGCAGGGGCATTGGTTGCATCGGTGTTGCAAGGGGACCTCAGAGGCTTTGGGAAGGCACTGTCATCGGACAAAATAGTGGAGCCGAGGAGAGCGCCATTGATTCCAGGAATGGAGGCTGTGAAGAAGGCTGCCATTGAGGCTGGTGCATTTGGATGCACAATTAGCGGGGCAGGCCCCACTGCAGTGGCCGTGACAGATGATGAGGAGACTGGCCGAAAAATTGGGGAAAGGATGGTGGAAGCTTTTTTGGATGGAGGGAATTTGAAGGCCTTGGCTATGGTCAAGCAACTTGATAGAGTCGGTGCTAGGCTTGTTAGTAGTATTCCCAGATAATATTGCTGGCAATAACTGAGGGTATGTTGAACATTTTAATTACAGTTTCCTTGGCTGCTAAAGAGCTGTCTTCTGATCATGCCATCCGTTCATGGTTTACTTCCCATTGTTCGACTATCAATAATATTATCAATTATCATTAAGGATGTTTGTGCTAAAGTTTTTACATTTGCCCTTCACATTCTGGATGTTTCTAGTGATTTCTCCGATATGCGCATGTGTTAACTTCCAACCTCCGAAGTGTGATAATAGTTTGGATATTGCAGTTTGTAACATCTTAAAGTTAAGAATGAAATAATATGGAAACGGAAATAATATGTAAACTTATCCACTGGAAAGAAAACAAAAATATTTTCTTTGTGATTTCAAGTTGCTCTCTCTCTCTCTCTCTCTCTCTCTCAGGCTGTTTTTTTAGCCTTCTGAATTGGTCTAGAGCTACTAGGTATGTGATTTGTCCTTTAGCAGTGAGTCTTAGGTGGCATTTTTGCCATCACTGTTGATGAAATTTTACATGAGCTGCATCTTTGTTCAAGATCTGTTTCTTTAGTTTTCATGGACCCTTATCCTTTTTCACTTGTTTATATCCTCTTTTGTGCTTATTGTTTGCTATCTGGTGGCTCTTGACTCTAGATTCTCTTAGAAATTGCATTGTATTCTATGTATACATTTGAGTCTCTTCTTGCAACTTGGCCTTCATTTAAGCAACATTCCTCTTTTAATAGTTAAGCTTTTAACGGTAAAAAGATTGCGTTTTGAGGTGAAAAAAGTGATATTTGCTTCCATCATGATTTGGAATTTTGCATTATAGATCAGCATCTGCACCCCTGTCATGGTTCCCAGATTTATGTTTAATGGGATTTACTTATCCCACAGAAGAACTCTTTTATGAATCGATTTCTGGTGTTTTGTTGGGTTAATATTCAAGCGGTAGTTGGAGGACTATGTTTCTTCTAACCCATTTGCTTAACCTTTTGTTTCTTTTCCTTCGCTTCCCAGCTGTAGATGAATTGGATATGATACTGTTTAAATTGGGTATTGAGGGAGGGAAGAGGGGGGAACACATTCAAGCTTACTTTTGCGAATTCAAATCATCTACAGAGACTTGGTAATATTGATGAACTGGAAAAGAAAACATGAAGTTATGGAACTGTGATAGTTTAGCATCTGTTAAAGCTAATGATGGAGTAACGAGTCTTAAGCTAATGGAAGTGCCAAGATTAGTGAACAAGTTGAATTTGTTGAGAGTGGCAAGAGCAGTTTATGTAAGGGCAACACAAGTAATGATACAAGTGATTAAAGTCCGTGTACCTGCCTGAATTACAGGGTTTAACAAACCCGGGTTAAGCAATTGACTTAAGATGGAAACCCATACTGCTCAAATGATGGGATCGTGGATTTGAGGCATTTTAGACTACTACAGAAGAAGCTGCGTCTCATGTTCAAGCATGTGCTGAGGACTCTTAACGACTTAACCTGCAGGAGACTAGCGTTGTGTTTTAAGTACTGATACTGTGGGCCTGTGGCTGAGCCTATCATTTCTTCCCAGCTCTATATTTTCTTTCGTCAAGTTATTTCAAGTTAAATTCCAGGTACATCTTTGCTGTTCTTTCGTGGTTATTCAGCTGGCGGCAGATTTATCTATGTTCTGAGTATAGTTTCATCAACAGTTCCATTCTCCTTTTTCTCATTGGCAATTACTTCAACTCACCTGGGCAGTTTAAGAATTGGTTTTGGATGGAAGCATTAGTTCCTTCAGTAACTTCCATTTTTCCATTTATATCTGAACTTTAAACCCAGAGAATCAGTAATTCTCTGCTTGTATTGAGTTGAGGGAACAAATATTCTTGTTTAATTAATTCTCTTATACTTTCTTTCGTGATTGTGCGAATCTAGTTCAGGAGATTCAATAAATTGAGATTCAACTATGTCCCAAACAAAGCATTGTAATTGGTCAATTAAACATACAAATTTGTTGATTTTGTCAAATCTACTCAAATTTTGATCAATCAGCTTAAAAGAAAGTCAAGCTAAAATTTCGCTTCCACCATCGATAAATAAGTTTAGCCAGAGCGTTTGTGTTATAAGATGACACAAATTGTCCTAGCTCGTTTCAAAGATAACAGGACTTGCCACTGCAGAGGATGCTGAGCAATTACATTATACATTAAACAAGAAAAAACATTCAGAAGTAACAACTACGACTTTACAATAACTAACCCAAGTTCGCCACACGGTCATTTTTGGCCGACTCCTCTTAAAATAGGGAGAAAAACAAAATATAACGAAGAATGATCTTAGGATATGCGCAAACCAAGTTATTAACAAGGTTTTGTTAACCTTCCATGGCTAGCAAATTTACCACACGGGCTTCTCACCAGGCAAGTAAGAAGGAGAAGCACCCTCCACTTGGTTCTTCTTCTTGAATATTCCACTTAGACTAGGCATAAGAACTTTCTTTCTCAAGGAAGTCTTTGCTTTTTCTAGTTTTCGCATTTCCTTTGCTTTTTCTGGTAGATTCTGCTTTTGGATTTGGTAAATACGAGGAGATGATTGAAATGACTTCTCTGTTTCTGCAAGAATCTGAGCTGCTGCTTCTGCTGCCTTCTTTTGCTCCTGTTCATGCCGCCTTCTAAGCTCTCCCTCGACCGCCTTCTTGGCTGCCTCTGCCATCTCTGCTTTCTTCTGTGCCTCATTGGTAGCAGCTTTTATATCCTCGATCTCCTTCTTGGTAGCATCCAACTTCTTAAGGGCCTCTCTTTCACTCGCTTTCACGGCTTCTACCTGAGCCATGGCAGCTGCAATTTTCATTTCTGATAATTTTTCAGATTCTTCAACCTTTCGGCTTAACGATTCAAACTCCTCTCTTGATAGTGTGATCTGGGCACCTGGCTCTGAAGTCGAAGCACGTGCAGCATCAGTCTTCTCAGACAGCATCTTGATTTGATTTAGGGCTTTAGCCTCAGCCACCTTCGCTTCTTCAGCTTCTTCCAATGCAACTAACAGTTTCTTTGCTGCTGCTTCTAAGTCAATTCCGGTGGCTTCTGCTTCATTCTTAAGTTGTTCTGCTTGCTGTTTCATTTCTTCAGCTTCACGTTTTGCATTTTCCGTCTCCAACGACACCTGGTGGATTGTAGCAACCATTTCATCAGAAGCTCCTCGTACTTTGGCTTCTTCAACAAGGGCTGCTTCGAGCTCGGACTTGGCTTTCCGGAGCTTCACGTGCAGATTACCTGCAATAGATTCTGTTTCTGCTTCTTTCTCCTTCAATTCTGAATGCTCTTTTTTAACATTATCCAATTCTAACTTAAGGGTCTCCACCAGGCTTCTCAGAGAGTTCCCCTCGTCGGCCAATTTTTGTAATGATTCTTTAGCACCATCCAACCCTGAAGTAACCGTCTTCACAGAATCAAGATCCGAAGTCCTTGCATTATCCATCTCTTTACGTAGCACTTCAATTTCTGACATAATTTTAGCTAGGTCAGTCTCCAACTTCATCGTGAGTTCAGGATTAATATCTTCCTTCAAAGAAAGCAATTTGTTTGCAGATTCTTCAAGTTTGGCTTTATATGACTGCTTGTACACATCCTTCTCAGCATAGATCTTTGCTTCCTCTTCCTGTGCTTGCGAACTTGCCATCTTCACTTGCTGAATCAACTCATGCACAGTTACGATTTCTTTTGATAGCTCATTGGCTCTCTCCATGTTTGTTTTAGTAGCATTTTTGGCTTCTGCTGTTTGCTTGATGGCAGTATTTTTTGCTTCCACAGATGCATCGTATTCCTGACGAATTTTCCGCAGCTCCTTCTTTTCCTCATCAAGTTCAGCCATTACAGCCATGTACTGAACCCGTGCAGTTTCTTGATCCATTTTTGAAGATTCATTAGTTTCTTTTGAATTGCTGTTGCCAGATTCTTCAAATTGCTTTGCATGATGCTTAGCTGCTTCTGTAGCCTTAACTGCTGAATCCTTTGATTCTTTGATAGTTTTAAGCTTCTGCGTAAGATCCTCAACAGCCTGTTTAGCTCTATCGAGCTCTACAAGAGCCTGTGCTTTAGTGGTGTCAGCATTTTTTAATTGTTCCTTCAACTTATTCAACTCTTTCTCGGCCAAGTGAAGTTGAGTCTCTTTTGCCAGCACTCTCTGAAAGTGGACAATATAATACTTTGGCAACACATACAGACTTCCATATGTTTAATAATAGTGAAGTAAAAAATTTAATAATTTACTAGGAAAACCCAAAGCTGTCTAAACTCTTAGGGCATGTTTGGTAAGCTATACTAGATAGGAATGATCATAGTAAGATTTTACCTTCTTTTTCTTAGTATTCTCTAGTGTTGTCCAATTCAGCTTATTAGTGAAAATAGCGATCATCTTAAGCAATAGTATTCAGAAAGAATAAAGAGCTACATGAATTGTTATTTGAAAATTCTACATTTAACACAGGCTGCAGACCTTTCTTCTTTTCCTTCTAAATTACTATCTTAACAACACTTCTTTACCTGAGAAACATCTTTTGCCTAGGGTAATAATTGTTCAATGGAGTCCAATTGAGCAGATTTATCGTGTAAATAATATTTTCTATGCATAAATAAGAATTAGCCAAAATCTACATTTACTGGTGCCAAATCAACACTAAACCTTTAGCATTGCTGAACATAAAGTAAACCTCAAGAGCTTGGCAAAACCATAAGAAATTTAGCAAGTAAACTCTGTGTCACAGAATGGTAAAATTAATCAGAAACTTTTCCCACGAGTCCTAAGTCATTAACCGTTAATGCTATATCCACCATTCTAGATATTGCACAGGGATACTAGCATCTCAACTGCACGTTTATGCATATTTGACAGTACTCAACATTAAGATGAAAAAGAATTTAGTTTCTTTTTCCTTCTTAATATGTTTAAACGGTCTAATATACCTTACCAAACAAGCTATAAGAGGATAAAGATTAGAACTAATAAGTATTGTGGGTCAACAGACATTATATCTAGAAGGAAACAGAAGAAAAGTTGTAGCATACTTCAGCAGAACGTGGTTTCGACTTTTTAATGGCAGGTTTTTCCCCTGAAAAGGCGCCTTCGCCAAATAAAGAGACAGCATCTTTGACTGATTGAAATGGTGCACTAGTGTCAATCTCTCCTACCTCGCCTTTAGTAGATCCTTTGGTTTTTTGATAGTCTTTTGCCACCATAATTCTTCACCTGTTCTAACTCCAACTCTCAACTGTCAAGAACATAAAGAGAAAGAAAGGGTTATAGAAAAGTAATGAACACAAATAGGATCACCACTCGAAATAAATAAAGCACATCATTTCATAAGAGGACCCTATTAATAGTAAATTAAAAAGTAAAACCAAGTTATGCATGATTTCATGAGAAGTTTCCATCAAGCACAGTATTTTACCATCTCGAATATAAAAAATGATTAAAATTCCATAAGAAATTTTAGTGAAAGCACAATTTATTCTTTCTAGCTTGGAACATGTAGAGCAAACAATACTCGTATTAAATTCCTTGAACTAAAAGATTTGGTGAAAGATAAATATTGGTGATCCATATGCAAAGTACATGTATTAATGCATAACAAAACCTCGCCTTTTTGGTTTCGGATACAGTACGCCATCACCTTAAGTGTATATATGCTTTGAAATACAGCAATACACCCAATTAGTCATAAATGGAATATAGCAGGTATATACAGAGAATTATTTGTTGGATTCCTACATTGCTGACTAACAAATGTACAAGATTTCAAAAAGCTCTAAAATGCATATACTTCTGACTTCTTGTTTATACAGATATGGTAGAGGGGCCCGATCAGAATCATATAAACTGGCATGAAGAATTTCGTCTCTTAATAAAGAAGACAATTTGATGGAGTAATTTCGAGACACGTCCATTTCTTCAACATTTAAATACAGAAGATAATTCTCGAGAAATACAGTTTCAATTGTCTCGAAGCAGAAAAACACCAGCAGCAGTTAATCAACAAGGCAAACGTACTAAAACTCCATCAGTAATTCAGTGATTGTAAGGCAAGTAACTTTTTTTCAGCAAATATAAGAGCTTAAAATCATTGGAGATTAAGCAGAATCAATAATCATTTGTTGCATTAGCCATAACAAAGTATGACATGACTAAAATCCACAAATTCATTCTGTATTGAAGCTATGGAGTAAATTTGTGCTTCAGCAGACTTCTTAATCTTGAATTTCTCAAGAAAAATTAATATGGAGAAACCTGAATTCACGTGAAACAAAATAATTACTCACTCAAAGGTGAAAGCAAAAAAGTAAACCAATAATTAAACAAGAAAAAAGCAGAAGGTTAAAACTGAAAAGTACAAGAACTCATAATTACACACTCAAAAACCCTAATCATACCAGAGAGGGAACAAGGAGACAGAGTCACAAAAGGTTACTGTAAACTCTAGAAATCATCAAAACTTCAAATCCCAAAAAGAGTTTTTTTTTTTTCCCACCAGTAAAAAATCTCATGAACAGTGAAGCTGCTTCATTTTTCAATGGTTTCTAAAGTCAAACTGCTTATCAGAATCTAAGAATCATAAGCAACCCACCACAAAGAAAAATCCAAGATTTTGAAATTCTAAAAGCCCAAGAAAATCACCTCACAGTATATGCAGCCAAAAGAACACAAAAGAGGATCAGAGATAAATTCGTTACTTTTCCAATAACTCAGAAAATGACTTTTTTTTTTGGATGAATAAAGGCAAGAAAACAGAGGAGGGTTGGCAAGAATAAATTTAAACAGTAGACTTTGAAAATTCCAAACCTGTTCTTACTTCTTGAATAATGTATAAAGACAAACTTTTTGCTTATTATAATGTGAGCAAATAAGAGAAGAGAGAGAAGCAGTGCCACGTCAGTAAACAGCACCGGCCAAAGGATGACTAGAGAGGTAGAGAAACAAGTTTATGGGATTTTCCGAAAAGTTGATTATTTTAGGAAAATTAATTAATTATTTCCATTTATTTGGATAATTTGAAATTTGAATACTGATTTTATCTTTTGAAACATTGCGATAATAGAGAAAGCTAATAATTTACCATAAATAGATGAGAATTTTTTATTAATGTTCAATTTTGAACAGTGTGCAAGCGATACTGTAAATATTTTTCATGGCCGACCGGTCATGTTGTTTCTTGACTATTTTTTTTTTGGCATAAACGAGACATTTGAAAATGAATTTCAAAACGACACAATTGCTTAAAAATCTTGTATCTCAAATTCTTAATATGCTTGTTGGATTATGGAATATATAATTGGGAGCCATCAAGAATTAGGGTAAAATTCGAAAATGTATAAGAAGTTCGTTGTTTATCGAACTCTTAAAATTTCTAAATTTGTAATTGTAGCCTTTAAGACATCTTTCTAAGTCAACGGACCCATGGTTGACGGCGCCGGATGGATCCATCCACAAAAATGACCTTTTTTTTGTATCAAAAACTTTTATGCTTAAAAAAAAATCGTTGACCAACTGACCCACATTCAAAATCTCAATTCAACCAGTTGCAATCACTAGCATGAGTCATAGCTAATCGACACTTATGTTCGAATATAAAGCGTTTATAGATCCTTATTTTCATGATGTTTTGTCCTTGGTTATAGTATTATATAGAGATGGTTAGAAATAAAAGTTTTCACAAACACAAAGGTGGTCTAATCACTTATTTGATGATACCTTTAAAAAGATAAAACAAAAGCAAGTTTGGAACCCAACTCCACCTCTTCATTCCGACTCAAGTGAATAAATTATGTTAATGAAGATAAATTGACTTCGTTTTGACCCCCTCCTTTTTATTCTTCCGGATACGTGCCTCTTCCTTTTTCTTTAACTGCCTACTACCCTAACTGCTTCGAATTAGAGGTGTCAAGACGGACGGGCTGGCCATGACCCGTGAAAACCGGCCCGTGAAAACCGGGACCGCGGGGCGACCCGTGACCCGTGCGGGCGGTTCACAGGCCAAGGAGGTGTAACCCGCGGGCTTCGCGGGTTGCACCCCCACGGGCCGCGGTTAACCCGCG